CATGAAGATGTGAATTCACTGCTTTAAGTTACTCAAATGCTTACCTGTGGTCAGTGGCAAGCCAACACAAACTGCACTAAAGCCGCTGGTGCTACGTCCTCGGTGTTATTACCAATGATGTTATTACCCGAGGCAGCTAATCAGGGCTGTGAAGGAAAGACCACACCAGCAATGCTCACCCATTCATTATTCTACAGCATGGGTCCATTCTGGTCCAGAATAAATAGGAAGCTTTTGTCCCAGGCAGGTTAGCTGGGATCTTAAACCCACTTAAACATGTACTTCACTCACAGACATGCTTAAAATGAAGCACAATCTGTAAGGGGCCCTACCTGCACTTCAGTGAGCATGACCATCTGAGAGCAAGTTATCTCCTGAGGGCACTTGTTCTTGACTCCTGAGAAACATCCAGATTTGGGAACTCTCATTCACTCCCTGCAATATGTCAAATGCATTTGCCTTCTGTGAGTCAGAGCCTGGGGCTTCACCAGGCTCTGACTTCACCGTCCACCACTGAATTTCCCTTTGCCGCTGAGTCACTCTGCCCACAGACAGGCTGTGCAGATGCCAGCTGAATGGATTGTGGGAGTGTGCTGCACCAGACCCTGAATTTTCCATACCCTGAGGGTCCAGGAAAGCCACTGCCCTCACTGGCACAACATGCCTTCGCCAGCCCCAGTGCTGGCAGTATTCAGGGTAGCTGAGAACATGGCTTGTTCCCCTGAGAGTATCCTGAGCTGCATCAGCGGTCCCTCTCATCCATTTCATGGGTACAGGAAATCTAACATCCTATCCCTTCTGCAAACAGTATCTATCTCCGTAATAGCCTTTGTAGGGGAAGAGAGAAGCGGTGGATGGGGTTTGGCCCTTAATGAAACACTTGACCAAGAGATTTCTTGCAAGGGGCTTGTGGCATCTTCATCCCAGCCTTGGGCAGGTTGGGTCCAAAAACTGCACCATGTTCAAAGCACTGGGAGCACCCCAAGAAGCACAGCAGCAAGAACATGCTTTGGAGTATTTGGGGATGCTACGGAGCTAACGTTGCTAAAATCACTGGAAACTCAGCCCAGCGAGTGTAGACAATATCAAGAAAACAGACTCAGAAGAGAGGGACAGGAGTACTGAACAATATATTAGCAGCTTTCAGGCTGTCACCGGCTGGGAAGCAAGTCGGAGTTAATATCATCTAACAGTGATGAAGGGCCACTGTCAGCAGTCCTCTACCTCAGTTTGAATCCTGCCCACCTCACAAGTTCTGCAGTTGTGTCAGAAGACACAAGATCAGATGGCATCAGCTACTTTGCTGCCACTCTGTGGCAAAAGGGGTAGGGAGATGGAGCATGAGACTGGCTGCAAATCAGTGCAAGAAAAGGGTGTGGGACACAGCACACTTGGCGACCTTGGTCAGGCTCCCACTCGCAGCAGCAGCAAAAACCTCATTTTGTGCAGTTATGCCTGAAAATCTCATTCGAGCGAGAAAACTGATAACCAGGATGGCTCATTTGGCCTTGCTGCAGAAGGCTTTTTTTTTCCCCTCTCTGCTGCTCCTCATGAGTGGACAATGCTAGTCTGAAAGTGCTTGTCTGGGATGGGGAGCAGCCACAAAACACACTTCTTCAGAAACCTAGCTTGGAAACCAAGCTAGTGGAAGTGCCAAAAGGTGTGGGAGGTGTAGCAGAGACCTCATGACCACAAATGATAAATATATCATGCAGGGCATCAGAAACAGCTTGGTCCTTAACCCACTGTGAGACATTTTGTGTTAATTGTGTTTCACTTATTTTTAAGTGAAAGAGGAAAGAGGAATAGGGTAAGAAAACAAACATTGGGGGTGAACGTAGCAACCTAGGAAGATAATATGACTTCTAAGCGTGAAGTGCATGGCATGGCTGGTTAAGGAAACCACCCACCTAAAAATCACATCTGGGAGTCCCCATGTCATTGCTCTCATCTACTCCTAGCTCACCTGTGGCCTGAGACCTGACTCCCTACAACCACCCAAGCACTGCGAAAGATACTGCAAGCTGATCACGGGCTACTGTTTCCCGCTCCCCGTAAGGGCCAAAGGAGCAGGTCACAAGCATGGATAAGCCCCAGTAACTTCCTTTGTTGGGCTGCGCTGGAGTCATTGGGGAATTGTCCCACAAACTGCTCTTACGGTGGATAGCACGTGCGGGCAGCAATGCTTTTCCCTTGTCTCTCACTAAAGCACAACTCCTGGCAGTGCTCCTCTGGCTTGGGAAATCTGCAGCTCAGAGGCTCCACAAGAGAGAGAGAAACGTGGCCTAGACAAGGGAAGGGACTCTCTTCTGCTTTGGCAAAGCCGTATTGCCAAGAACAGACCCCTTTTCCCCATTACTTTTGCACTGTGTGAAGCTGTGTTGGTGTTTCCCCATGACAAGCAACTCCTCGTCCTTCCACACTGGGGAGCACTGGGAACATGAAAGGAGGGGGATCTGTATCTATTCCACGCTGATTCAGAAGGTTAGCACAAGGTAGCAGCACTGGTCAGCATGAGCAAGGGAATTTTCTGCTGAGAAATCCTAGTGGTCTTTGCCATATGATTTAGTTTTAGGTAGTTCTGCGAGGAGCAGGGATCGGACTTGATAATCCTTATGGGTCCCTTCCAACTTGAGATAGTCTACAAATCTATGATTCTATGAAAAGTGTTTTTTTTCCTTTCTGATCAATAAAGATGGAAGGATTTTGATGAGCTAAAAACGCCTCACTACATCTTTCTTATTTTGGACATCACATCTGTATTAATACACTATTGTGTTCGCATGTTAAATACATACAGACGTCTTCTCTTGTTTTGCCTTTATTGCAATCAAGTGGTTTTACCGAATCAAAATGAGACAACTGGGTATTCTCAAAGTGATTGTTTCACTCTGAACCTACCTGGTGATCACTGGACTGTGTGACCCTGGTAACTGTCACTGGATGTGATCCTGACCCTGGTCTGCAGATTCACTTCTTATCACCACAAATTTTGCCTCACGGTGAGGAGTCTTAGCTGCATCTCTGGGCCTGCCCTGTTCCCCTCACTTGGTACGGTGCAGCTGGGTCCTGGCTGACAAGGACCCCGCTCTGGCGGTTGTGGTTTTGTGCTTGACCCCCGGCTCCCTGACCCTTCAGGAGCCACATCCTGACAATCTGATTCCTAAGAGATGTCCAAGTCTTGACTTTTTATTCTGACTCAGAATAAAAGCACGTTACCAACTGCTGGGATCCCATCTGGGATGGGAATCCTCACAAAGTCCACTTTCACTGTACGTGAATCCCTTGGGTAGTTAATACTGTAGCAAAGAACGCCTTGCAAAGCCCAGTGCTGCAGCAACCGGGAAGTTGAAGGTTTGGGTGGGGGCTGCACACTGATGTAAAATGCCACCAGTTTCTCTCGCTCTCTGTTGTGAATCACAGCCTCCTTGGTACCAAAATCTGCTACAGGCTTTTTCACAGTCTGCTGTTCTCCAAGCCTTCAAATCCCTATCCCTACCGTGGAGATAGTATATAAATCATAAAACTATTAATATGCAGAAAGCTATCTTTCCACAGTATCTTCTGGTGACTGGATAAACCTCAAAAAAGGCAACTCCAGCATGTAGCCCAGATAATAACTTCTGTCTTTGGCACTTTGAAACTCAGCTAGATGACTATTCTCTGGAGTGAATTACATCATTCATTGCACTGTTCTCAAAGTTAAGTGTATTTTTTAAGTCCTTGTTTTCCTTATATATATGTGTGTGTGTGTGTGTCACTTTGACTCTCAGAAAATGAGACTCTTTAAAAAAAAAAGGATACCATAACATCTACATTACAAAGATCATGAACAAGGCATTGAAATCCAACTAAAGTTCAGAAACACTTCATAGGTGGTGATTTTCCATATACTGCTCTTAAACTGAACAAAACCTATTGATCTAACCAATTCTGCTTGCCACCAGCTCCATGCAGGGTTTTTGAGCTTAAAGTACATCATCTTCCTCTGATAAACCCAGTGCTGAGTTCTCAGTAGATCCTTTGATCCAGAGGAAGGACAGCTCCTCTAACACATCAACGTCAACATGCTGCTGATGTAACTGCTGTTTTAATGACAAACAGGAGTGGCCACTAACTGATGTGACAGGAACGTACATTTCGATCTAAATGGAGTCGCATGACAGAAAGCAGTGCTATACCCTGTTCTGATGTTCACATCGTGCTTCCTGTGCAGAAATGGGACTACCATGTGCATTTGGAGAGCACCCTCTTCTGGGGGCAGCAGTGAAGTCTGCTCTCCCTTGCAGAAAGTGAAGCATCTGCTGAAAAATGGGCATACAGCAGCAGAGCCGGAGAAACAAGCACTGCAGTATTCTGAACCACCTCCTAACTTTGCAGCCAGTAAGATATAACTGATCCAGTGGAGTTGACTTGGCTTCTTAAAATGGGGCCATGGCCTACGATTATATTGTGGACCCTTTCCCAGACTTGGGAAATCCCAAGGACGGGCCTGGTAAATCTCTGTTAAACTGTGGCAATTAATATGACTTTCCAAGCAGACCATATATGTCCACAGAAAACATAACACCAAATTCCTATGCACCAGCACGCACAGCTTTACCCTACTCAACCCCCCCACTCTATGCATAGGAAAGGTGGGTGCAGGAACAGACCTAGACCTTCCTTCCACTGCCTGGGCGTTGCCACCTGCTCATGTGCTTTGTGCCTGAAATGTTTGCAGTGTTCTTTTCTTTCTCTTTAGACACAAACTAATTCATTGGAATTGCATTGGAATAGAGGGAAGTCACCTGGTTTTTCAATAAAAATAAAGCAGCCTTAAAAGGCTGTCCTGAACGAGCAAATCATAGTGACAGACAAAACTTAATCAAAATTGCAATTAAAATACAACCTTAATGAAATTTAAATACATAAATGTTATTGCATACAGACATTTTTACTTACTAAACAAAACAATCTCAGCACATCATCCTGCTGTATAAACAATGGGAAGTGGCTTTTTTCATGCCTCAACAATATTTGTTATTTCAAAATTAACATAGGTAACAATTAAGACTATGCAGTTATAAGATAAATGTTCCTAGTTTATATCTATGCCTTAAGAAAGTAAATGACATTGAAATGCTATTGAGTAGTGTAGATTAAGTTCTTTCTTTTGAACAGGAAAAATGTAAGATATTTTGGCTAATATCTCAGTGACATTACATAAAAATCAAGAGCTGTTGATCCACTCGAAGTGTGCACTGAATCACTAAGCTCAAGGAAAGGTTGCCATTGACTTCAGCAGAGCCAAAAAGATTTTGCTGTTGGAGGGCTCCCTTGCTGCTACCTGAATGTCACAGCAATTCCTGTGAGACCATAAAGCAGGTTATCAAACAGCACTGGCTCTCAGGACCACAGATACTCAGTTCAGCCTGCTCCCTTCTTTACACCAGTGTGTAAGTGCAGGCAAACCAGATGTACTGGCTTGGTTAAGTAAAATGGGGAAACAGAACATCGTTAAAAAAAAAGAAAACAACAAACAAAAACCTGCTTCCTCATTGCTGTCAGAGCAGGACCATGCACAAACCTTCTTTCCCAGCCTGCAAAATGAGATTATGGTCTGTCAGGTGACGGAGGGCACAGCTAGCATTGTGGGATGTATGCCAGCTGAGGGAATACACTGCAGCCCTAGGTCACAGAACCAGGCTATGCGGTACACACTTAGGCTCTTAATGCAGCATCACAGCCTGTCTCCAACAGCTGGATGACAGGGAGAAACTGTGGTGTGTAGAAGAGCATGGGATGAAGCACAATATGGGAAAGACCCACGGGATTCAGCAGGTCTAATCAGTTGTGTATCGAGTACTCCTACCTGAGGCGTCACCAATGGTTTGAAATATGCTAAGGCAGCAAGCAAATGCAGCAAGAACTACGTGTGCTCCCTTCCCACCAAAGGGAATAAACCATGCTGAAGCTTTGTTGCTAAAGGCAAAGGGTAACAGAGGTTCTGAAGCGTTAAAGTTTCTTGGTCCTTTTCAGCTTCTGTTTGAAAACAGCAATATCATAATAGCTTTTAAATTTCACCAGGAAAATGGGTATTGGGATGATAATAGTCAACATGCCAAACACTGCAGCTAAGGCAGCCGTCACTTGGCCGACTGTGGTGAGAGGAATAATATCTCCATAGCCCACTGTAGTGAGTGTGATCAAAGCCCACCAGAAGCAAACAAGAATGTCAGTGAAGTGGAGCTCCCCTGTGTAGTAGGGATGGCTACCCAGCAACTCCCCATAGAAAAAGAGAGCACCAAAGAATAGGGTCTCAAAGGCCAAAATCATCAGCAGGATGCAAATCTCTCTAAGGATAGACTTGAGGGTGTAGCACAGAACCCTGAGGATCAGTGGCGTTTCTATCAGCTTGGATATCTTCAGGAGTTTGAGGAGATAGACAATGCGAACAAAGCCCAACCAAAGCCCCAGGCTTGGCATTCTCTGAATCTGCCCAGCCACAAAGAGTTCAATATAAACTGGGAAGAGAGAGAGGAAGTCAACCACGTTCAGGGGATTTTGGAGGAACCACTTCTTGTCTGGGCAGAAACAAAATCGCACAGAGAACTCAAAAGTAAACCAGAGAACACAGAAAAGCTCCAGATGAAGCAAGTAGGCAGCCTGGTGGTAATAAGGTTCATGGTCGTTGTGGGAGACCTCAGAGTAGCCAACAGAGGTGAAGTTAGCAGTGAAAAATTCAAATTGTGCCTTGGTCTCCTCACAGAATACGATGACAATTCCAATGATGAACAGCAGAGAAACAAAAGCCAAGCACTGCAGAGGGAAGAAAAGGCACATGTGCAATTAGTCCAACAAACAAGTATCACATAACCTCACTGCCCCGCGACAACCCCAGGATCCCCTCCACGGGCACAGTACAAGCCCAGACTAATCTTTCCCAAATCACCATTGTTCTGCTCACATGGAGTGCACTTTCTCCTTCCAGATTTGAAAACTAATAGAGAAGACTGGAGTCAAAGAACAAACCACCTGAACTCCTACATCAGTTTGTAAGGAAGAGGAAATGTCTGACAGCTGGAGTAATGCGGACAGACTCACACTGAGGGCCTCTTCAGCACTAAATGTTGGCTCCAGAAATATCAGCAGCATAGAAAACATCCTCTGCAGTCTCTGACTTGCGTTTGTTGTTCTGCATGCCTGACATTTCAAAGAGGCACAGAATATGCATTTTGTACAGAGAACAGGGACAAGAGGAGGAGAGAAGAAGGAGGTGTCTGTTAATGAGAAGAGAGAATTTTATTTTCTTTTCTAATCTGGGACTCAAAGCATACTTATCAAAGCTACGAACCCATTAGCATTTTTCTTGGACCCATTCTGATAATCCCAAAGGACATGGGCTGTGTCTGTCTCCACATACAGTATTACCTTAGCACTGAAAGAGGAAAAGGGTTTTTCAAATATAGCCCAAATCTTTGGCTGCCACCTGGTTCGCCAGCTGAAATCCCTTCTTTCGGTCTGGACTATGAGGCACTGGTCATCAGTCTGCTCATTTTCATCCCAAATGTTAAACTCCTCTGGCTCCACCTCTTTGTTATTCAGCTTCAGCCAGCAGCAGGATGCTAGCTGTGTCTCATTTATTTCCCAGAAAGCCAGCTCTTCTTCTAAGACTGACCTACAGGTATCAATGGGGCAGTGGAAATGTTTGGTCCTATAATAGTTCAACACGTAGCTGAAGATCTCAGCACTCCTATCAAAAAAGAACTCTTTGGTGGTGGGATCATAGTCATAGATGCTTGAGGCACGGGGCTCCGTTAGGCTGCACAGTTTGGTCCCTGGGAAGGTCCGGAGGGTGCTGCTGTATGTCTCATATCTGACTCCCCCAATATTCAGGATGATTTTTTCCTTGGAGTCTTCCATCTGTGAGGGAGGAGGGAGGTGCAAGTCCTCATAGGCTCTTGTTTATCTTCAGTCAAAAAGAGAAGAACACACATTAAAAGAAGTAAAGTAAAGAAGGTTTTGGAGCAGGAAGGTTTTCCAGGGTACCTCATTCCAGTGCTTTTAAAGAACATTTTGTACCTGAAACCTGCACCTCCCATAGAGAGGAAGGCACTTCTGCCATTCCCCATCATGTTCAGTGCCTGTGCCTAGACTCTGCTCCATGGCCATATTGTCTGAGCACTTTTCAGGAGAGGCATCGAACAGTTTGACAAACATCTGGTTTGCATTGCTCGCACTCTCAGCTTCTCCCCATGGGGACAGAGCACACAGGCCAGAGCCTGTTTCACCACATTTGTTCACATACTGTAGACAAGCATTGCAATAAATTCATCTGAGGTAAAGTTCTCATTTCCAAGACATTCCTTCCACTATCTCTCCCGCTCCTCTTGTCTTCCACTCCCACCCCCAATTTCTTTCTCCACAAGCAGCTTATTGCAGAGACCTCCATATGCCAAAGAGGTGAAATGGTCATTAACAGCTTATTCTCCAAACATGTCTTTAAACATAATCTCCTGTGTTGAGCCTGGCATAACAAGTTTCACAAGAGACCCTGCTGCCTGGTGAGAACATTTACGTTATCAGAGTTATGCTTTTTCCTCAAGTCTTCCCTGTACTGAGTCCTGCTGAGCCAAATCACCTTTCCCTCTGCAAGAAGCTGCTCTTCACCTGGAACCTATACGCAGGATTTCTCGACTATACAGAAATGCTGAACAATAATGCCTCCTCCTTCAGGGCTGCCTGACATCTCAGAATAGTACCAAAACCTGCTGCCAAGGTCCCTAGCATTGGAAAGCATGTTCAGTTGCTTATTTCCTGTAATACATCCCCTGTTCTGCTCTTCAAAATTCAACATACCTGGGAGAAATTCGATCCCTGCTTTATGAACGTTATTCTAAGAGGGAAGGAAACCGAGGATCTCTATAGCCTCAGGAGCACATAGGAGAGGTGCCAAATAGGGACAGGACGTTCTTGAGAAAGCGACTAAGGCTGTCTTTTCCCCAGACACAGTCACTTCTGACTGCCTGTACCCCTCCATTTCCCCTCCTCCATTCCTACACTTTTCCATCTAACCTTCTCTTATGCCCCGCTTTTCTAGTTCTGGCCCTCCTCTTCTTGTAACAGAGAGCAAGCCTATCTTTTCCTGCTTTGACTCCCTTACCCAGAGATGGCTGCTCAGTGTGCTGAGACCATGTACATAGAAATTCCAGTTATCCCTCCTCCCTTTTTTGCAGAAAATGCTGAGCATGGGAGTCACAGGTCACTCTGCAACAAACCTTTCCATCCAGGACCCACAAGGGAAACAAGCCCTGCACCAGGGGAGGCTCGCAGAAGTAAAGAACTGCATACAGCACCTCATCCAGCTTTATCAGAAAAGGCTGGAAGCTGCAGCATGGGTCACGCCCCCATGGCACAAGAAAAGTACTGCTTGATGCAGCTTCACCCTAAAACCTCCACTAACTTCAATGAGAGCAGGACTGAGCGTAAGGACTTAAAGTGTGCAGGCATTGCTTAGTACTTGCTGCACAGGAAACCACCCAGTGTGATTCTAAGCAGGTTAGATTAATCCAGCACGCAGCAAATCTGGAGTTACATTATTGGCCTCTGTTGCCTAGCTCTCTAAAAAGCACAGTGATTTTTGAGATCCCAGCTAAACTTGTCTTTCTCTGCTTAGAACGCCAGATACCTCTTGCTCAAACATAACCATCCCCATGTAAGAAATAAGCCAAGAAGTGCCATGTCATATTCTTACCTTGGTGCTATTGCAGCAACTGTGCAACCAGAAGAAAGGAGAAGAGACTGGGAAAAACAGGCACAAATTCAGTGAAAACAGGATGTTCAATGGCTTGTCTCCAAAGCTCAAGTCTCATAGACGCCAGAAAACAAAACCAGCCAATAGCACTGAAGAGATGCAGAGGCCCCTCTCCCTTGTTCTCTGCCCTATCAGTGGTCGCTCGCCCCACTCCAGGGAAGAACACTCAAACAAGAAGGCAACAACTGCCGGGCCAGATATGCTCTGACGGCTCTGCCACCCGCTGCTCCACGAACAATCTCAAAAGGGCCATGGTGTTTGGGAAAGACATGGAACTCAAGTGTCTTAGGACCAATTAGAGATTAAACTATCAAGTCACAGAAAGGCAGACAGAGCACAGTTCTTTCTTAGCTGTGCCTTATTTGAGTTAAAAAATAATTTAGAAAACAACAGGAGCAAACAAACGAACCAAAAAACCACATGACCTTCCATTTCTTGTCACACTCTCTCCTTTTTTGGTTTAAATGGCTTTTTCTTCATTTCTGGATGACCCAAAGCTTAATCTTTTGCACCCACTGATTTTAAATGCTTTTTTTTTGGTCATTGATTACTCCAGGAAGAAGGTTGGCACATAGTTGTTAATCCCAGTCAAGAGAGGCATGCTGAGTGTGAAGTTTCCTTTCAGCTGACATTCCAGGGCTGTTTCTAGTATCACCTCTGCTTACTTCAAACTCTCTGGAAAGAAAGTAGGAAAAGGATTTCCTTCTTCCCAGCAAGAGCAAGACTATTCAGGAAGGCTCTGGGGGCTTCCTCTTCAGTTATACAAAGGAAAAGCAAACTCATGCCTCTTTAGAGGAAGTCTTGCCACAGTTCACCTGCTGGATTTTTCATTTTACTCCACTACCTACGTTACCCTGACACACCAAAATCTCTTTTCTTGTAAAAACCCCAGGTTTTCCATTTAGGCCTTTTACCTAGATAGCAGCCTGGTGCTTTGCTCCTCGCTGCGCTTCACCTGCAGGTCTAAGTAACCTCACTCACCCTAGCTATCCCAATTCCCCAGGTACTACAGGGACACTACAGACAATCCCGGCCTCTTCTCTCAGCCTACAGCACAGCAGGGCTGCAGAAACTAGGATTGCAAATTGCTGCCAGTCTTGCACGAGACATTCTGGGCAACAAGCCATCTTTGCCCATTACCTCCCAATTCTGTACCGAGCAACCTTGTAGACAGACATCACAAGCAATGCAACAGCACGAGGATAACTCCCCGCTGATCCAGACTCTGAAAGCACATGAAGCGTGTGACACCTATGCCGGTTCAACCCTTGCTCTCTTCTGTCTCTGTAACGGACATCAAACCCTGCTCACCTTCCTCCCTCTTCACAGAGAATAAGAATGAAAAATACTCCTTTTAATTTAATTTCTGGTATGTCTCTGAGGTTCTGGAAGCAAGGGAGCTGATCGAGTTTGATGTACCCTTTCTGTTCCACAGCACTGCAGTGTTTGGCTTTTACAACCTTTGCACTGCAGTTGATTTCTGAAACCCCAAAATAATCTGGCAAGCAAAATGACACATGGTGTTCCTATGCTCTGAGTAAGACCCTTTGATTGCAGTAAACAGCTTGTCCTTTCAGAGCATTTTTTAAGCAGATGAAAAGTGCAACTCCATTTCCAGAGAACAGGGCCTTATTCCAAGCTTTCTCCCTGCCTCCTATCTCCTGAGAATTCAATTTCACTGCATGAGGCGCTGCGGGAGTTTGGCAACGAACATAAAGCCTGTTCCCTCAGCCTTATACTTCTTTTGAGTAATGAAACTCTTGTTTCAGTTTGGCTTCCATTTATTAACACCAAAGAAGAAGGCAGACTTCTCTGGAGGGAGGAGACTGAAGCTGTAATGAACTGATGCATTTTTCAAAGACAGTATTTTAACAGAACTCATGCAGGATTTCTTTCCCATAATCTTTGATATTTAATAAGTATTTTGTACAGGGCAGTAGTTCTATATTTTTTTCCCCATTCACTCATATTCAGATGCACGTGGTCTCAACTACGGACTCAGGCATACTCATGTTAGCCTAAATTAGGGGGAACTCCATTAACTGCATTTGTGCTAGAATATGAGAAGCTTCAGCTTTCCAGCATAAGCATTTCTTCTGAGAATGTTCATAAAAAGCAAGCGAGGATGATTAGCTGTTTTTCAAACAAAATCTTGCTTCAGAATATTGAACAAAACCACTTAAGCTATCCTACAGTCCCGACAGCCCTGGGGAAAGCCAAAGCTACTCTTTAGGTGCTGGAGGCAGCACCAGAACCTACAGCCTTAGCTTTTCTACTAGCAAAACCAATGTTAAAGAGCTGCTGTGGACTTCCAGTGTTTTTTTCCCCCGTCCTCTATTTCAGTTCTGCCTTCCCTCTGACCTCTAACACAAGTGTATTCCCAGGATTATGCAAACAAATCAGTGAAAAGAGAAGTTTTTAAAAAAACAGCCTCCAAAAATAAGACGATTTGTAGCCCAGATCATTTACCGATGCAGCCTACCGCAAAAACCTGTAAAACGTCACAACCGGAAAGAAGAGCAGTTAAGCCTCCCGCAAGCACAGGTACGTGCGGCCAAGGCTGGAAGGACACGGACACTGAAAGCACCTGTATGATTCGCGCTGCTTTAGCCAGGAGAGCCGCCGCCTCCCTTCAGGCCCGTGGCGGGCACTGCCCTCCCCGCAGCGCCGAGCTGGGCAAGGCCACGCAGACACAGCGCGGGGCCTACGCCACCTGCCCGCCCTCGCCGCTCGCCACAGGGACCAGGGACCGTGTTCCGCGTCCCACCAAGCCCGGCGCCCTGCCCCGGACACCGCTCTCCTCACCCTGCCCCCAAACACCTCTCACCGCCCCTCAGCTCGCTCCCCCCGGCGACCCAACGGCAGAACGCGCCTGCCCTGCACCAGCCTCGCAACCCTCAACCCCTTTTGGCCGTGGACCACAGGCCCTGCAGCGAATCGCGGGAGGAGACGCCGCCCCCCCTACACCTGGGCGACGAGTGCTACAGCCCCCGGGCACACCCGGCTGCCCCGCGGGCCTGGAGCCCCCG